ATATACATCTAGTCCAATGTAATTCAAATGAACTATTTTATATAAACTTACAATCTACTTGTTCTTCTGTTGGGCATCTTGTTGATGTACATATTTCTTCTTTTATAATTGCATGAATGCTTGGGCTGGGGATATAGCTCAGCTGGTAGAGTGCTTAGCATGAATAAACCCTGAGTTTGATCCTGGCACTGCATAAACTGGGGGTGGGGATGCATGACTATAATCCCAGAATTCAAGAGGAAGAAGCAGGAAGGCTGGGAGTTCAAGGTCATATTTGACTATGTAATGAGTGTCAGGACAGTCTGGATACAGAAGATCCTACTCCATCCTCCAGAAATGCGTGTATGTTTATGTACATAGAAGTCTGTATGGCTGGACATCTTTTAGCATTAAGCGTTTAATTTTCTGGTTAATTGCTCAGGAAAGGTTTCTGGCAGGTTTCTGGCCTCGGCTGATGAGCCAGTGTATTGTTTAGGGCAATCAAATAGATAAATGCATTTACTCACTGAAAGAGTGTTCCATTTCCCTTTCACCTTAAGTAGCTTCTGTTGTACACGCACCTTCATCACTCGCAAATTCACTTGCATGCGCATATGTGTTTGTGTGTGTTTGAGAGTGTACATGTAATTTATATACATGTTTGTATCTATGTGCTCACCTCACACTGATGTGAGTGTGGAGACCGGAAGTTGATGCAACATGTTTCCTCTATTGTTCTCCACTGTAGTTTTTGAAATAGGTTTTCTTCACTAGTCTGGAACTCACTTGTGAAGCAGTCTGCTCCGTGAGTTTCAGCGCCCTTCTGTGTCTGGGGCTGCGAATGTGCATGGCGAGCCTGGCTTTTCGTGTGGGTGCTGGAGGTCCTAACTCAACGTTCTGCCCACTGAGCTTTGTCTTTAGCCCCTCACTTTTGTTTTTATTGTTTATTTTACTTTCCCCCATCTCTGTTTAGTTGTTTGGCAACATCTGGTTATCTATGGCTAGCCTGGTCATCTTTATGCAGCTTCGTTACCTGTTCCATGAGGTACAGCGGCGAATCCGTCGGCACAAGAACTATTTGCGGGTGGTAGGGAACATGGAAGCCAGGTAAGACAGTCTGACTCAATGTTGCCTGAGTTTACTCTTTTTAACTGTGTGTGCGGTGTTGACCTCTCCTAGGCCGACCTCCTACTTCCTCCCATCATACTCATCCTCTAGGCCAGCTTTAAATTCATAGTCTGGCTGCGTCAGTGCCCACTCCAGCTTCCATCTGAGCTCATTTAATAGCAGCACTGCCTCATTCCACCAGAACGTGCTTTTGTGTACTTGTAACTAGACAGAAGAGTGTGCAGGCTGTCATGTCAGACTACCTGTGTCCCACGTAGTTGCAGGGTGGTTTGTACTCCAGTGACCTTACCTTCTTTCTGGAATGTGGGGAGGGTTCCAGGAGAAACAGCGTTCTTATTTTTTTGTCACTGTCTGTTGTCACTACTGAGTGAAAGCGCCTGTGATCTTCCGCCATCTTTGTTTTGGGAAGGTGTGTCCTGATTGCACTTTGCATGTGCATGTTTATGGGCATGGATCACTCTCTGGAGACACTCACTTGCTATCCTGAAGCTAACCCAAACCAGAAAGTACAGGAATAGTGGATACACTTTTTGTTTCTCAGGGACGGTCTGGTTCTTCTGCTATGTCCATAACTGTTCTGAATGTCTAAGGAACAGGTAGGACTGTTACTGTAGGGTCAGCTCTTGTGCTGACGTTTCCCACTTGGTTTTCTGAGGACCATGAAGAACAAAAATACTTTGTCTAACTAATCAGTTTTGCTGTGTAATTGTGCCACTCTGGTGGTCAGGTGTGTAATCTGGCGTTTGTTGGATGTGTGTGAAACTGCTGAGCTCCCACTGAGCCTGTGATGTGTTTTACAGGTTTGCAGTTGCCACTCCAGAGGAGCTAGCTGTCAATAACGACGACTGTGCCATCTGCTGGGACTCTATGCAGGCTGCAAGGAAGCTTCCCTGTGGACATCTCTTTCACAAGTAGGAGCTTTGTCCAGGGTGCTCGGGAGTGGCCTTCTGTTCCTGGGCTCTGGGCACTTTTTCACATGGATTTGAACATAATCCCAGCAGAAGAGCAAGGATGTTACCTCAGTTTGGCCTTGTTGTTGATGCTGCTTGGAGTCTGTGACTGGGTTTTTTTGTTTTTGTTTTTTTAATTCCGAGCCTCCTCTTTTGCCCTCAGTTCATTCTTTACCCACATTTGCCGTCTTAATTTCTTTTTTTTTTTTAGCTTTCTTCATAATTTTTCTCCATTTACATTCTAAAGTAATAAACACATCCATAATATTTTTAAAGGGGTTTCATTTTCCAGGGAGAGAAAAATCTTACAGAGACCTGGGTTGAAATGGAACTAGACCAAGGCTACAAGTGATTTGTTAGCAAGGATCGCAGGCTCGGCCCTTCCATAAAACTCCAAGGTTGGAGAAGATCTCATATTTCAGAGATCTCGTCACAGCTGTTTAAGCTAAATAATTATGTGCATGAATTTAGAGTTTTGTTATTGATGGCTTTAGAGATGTCTTTTTGGCCCCTTGACTATTGAAAAAAAATTTTTTGTTCGTTTGTTTTTCGAGACAGGTTTCTTTGTGTAGCTTTGGACTGCCTTGGCACTCATTCTGTAGACCAGGCTGATTTCAAACTCATAGTGACTCGCCTGCCTCTGCCTCCTGAGGGCTAGGATGGAAGGCATGTGCACCACCACCACCAGGTTTTAATGTGTGTTACCTTTTGTTTATGCTCTGAAACATTTGTTTAATGATGCAAAGATGTGATTGATTAAATAAAATTCACTTGTGGTCTTGAGACTGAATCAGCAACTAGCTGACAGGAAGTAGTAGGGAGGAGCCATCTGGAGAAGGGTTTATAAGGAGGGCTGAGAAAAAGCACCAGGACTTCAGGGAGACTCAGGAGGATCTAGGTGAGCTGCTTGCTTTTCAGCCTCTCTGGGAAGCAGGATTCTACTTCAGCCTTTGAATCTTAAGTTCTTTAGCAGGACAAAGATTTAGATAAATTCATAAATTCTCTTAGCTTTGAAAAAGTTGGTGCCTGAGGGAGCAGTTTCCTCAGGCTTCGCCTCTTGTGGCTGAACTGGTAGAGCCGGAGTTGCAGTTGCTGACTAGAATAGCCATAGCTTAGAAGTCAACAACCGTTAAAGAAGAGGACATCACTTAACACCTTCAGTCTTTTCTTTTTAATATCAGAAAGGCTTTGGAGCTGGAGAAGCCCACTCAAATGTCCTGACAGACTTTTTTGTTTGTTTGTTTGTTTTTTGAGACAAGGTTTCTCTGTAGCTTTGATCCTGTCTTGGAACTAGCTCTTGTAGACCAGGCTGACCTCAAACTCACAGAGATCCGCTTGCCTCTGCCTCCCAAGTGCTGGGATTAAAGGCATGCCCCACCACTGCCTGGTCTGACAGACTGTTTTATATTAGGAATAGGGGACTGTGTTGGGCTGTGGGGATAAAATGGAAGTATTGAATGAGGTCTTTGTGGAGCTTGCAATCTAATGTAAGAGCTGAACTTGAATGAACTGGCACATTGAGAATGTCAAGTTTAAACTGACCAATGTGCTTTATAGAAAAGAAATAGGGTTTGAAGTGACGGCACACACTTTTAATCCAGTACTCAAGAGGCAAGCACAGGCAGATCTCTGAAGAGTAATAAGAAAGTGATCCGATTCAGATTTGGAGGGGAGTGACTTTTGAGGATGAGCAGAAGTGAGATCTGCGAAGGAAGAGCAAGTTGGAGAGGATGTAAGATGGGATGTAGTGGCATTTAAGTTTTATTTTAAAAAATAAAGATTGCCTGAAGATCAGAGAGTAAAACAGTCCCACTGGTCAGCCTTACAGACCAGGTTATAGTAACACACACCTTTAATCCCAGCAGCCACAATAACACGTTTAATCCCAGTAGCCACAATCACACACACCTTTAATCCCAGCAGCCACAATAACACACAACTTTAATCCCAGCAGCCACAATAACACACACCTTTAATCCCAGTAGCCACAATAACACACACCTTTAATCCCAGTAGCCACAATAACACACACCTTTAATCCCAGCAGCCACACTAACACTTTTAATCCCAGCAGCCACAATAACACAACTTTAATCCCAGCAGCCACAATAACACAACTTTAATCCCAGCAGCCACAATAACACACAACTTTAATCCCAGTAGCCACAATAACACACACCTTTAATTTCAGTAGCCATACTAGTTTCCATAGAAATCGGGTGGTACACACCTTTAATTCCAGCCCTAGAGAGCAATATAAGGTGAGGGGAGACACAGCCTCATTCTGAGATTCCGGGAGGCAGGATTGCCATTTCAGACTGAGGTCGAGGTAAGAGCCAGGGGCTGACTGCTCTAGCAGTGGGCAGTGGGCAGTTGGTGTGTTGATGGAACTAGGAAGAAGTCAGTGTGTGAACTCATGGAAAAGAGGAAGGAGTGTGTCTGCCCAGTTAGGAGTAGTAGGCAGGGTCCTGAGGGCCCCTGGATGGGTGGAATACCATTGAAGGGTTTTGCATAAGGTTGGTAGGTAGAGAGGAGTGGGTTGGTAGATCTCCAAAGTCACTGTTTTGAAGACAAGGCCATGGTTATTTATAACCATATTGGTCAGTAGCTAAAGTAGTAAAAAGGAAAATCACTTGAGTAGAGGACTCAAGGATGAAGGAGGCTGAATGTTGGATGATTAAGTCCTGTGGGTTCTGAAGTAACTGAGTTGGGGAGACGTGAAGCCATGCTGCGATGTGGGGTGTGGTAGGTGTCTGTGTATTAGAGCGAGGAGACTCTAGTTACCAAAGTCTGCCAGCATTTAGATCTGGCTAGGGGAAGTAGAAGTCAGTAATAGTAGGAACATAGTCATTCTGGTGACTTCTCACAAATACGGGAAAGAGCAATTGAATCTGTCCTGTCCTTTCCTGTGGTCTCCGACAGCTCCTGCCTTCGTTCTTGGCTAGAACAAGACACATCCTGTCCGACGTGCAGAATGTCTCTTAATATTGCGGATGGCAGTCGTGCCAGGGAAGACCATCAAGGAGAGAACTTGGATGAGAACTTGGTCCCTGTGGCAGCTGCAGAAGGCAGACCTCGCTTAAACCAGCACAATCACTTCTTCCACTTTGATGGTAAAGTGTCTCCAACCTCCGGAGCTCTCTGTGGGATTTCTTTCCTAAAATGAAATTGTTAGGATTATAAGATGCCCTCTTTATTATTATATTACAAAAACTTATTTACAGTATTATATTATAGGCCTAATACTAGATGAATTTAGTATTACTCTTGAGACATCTTTTCATTACATTCATTTACTCTGTGTGCGTATGTCTGTGGCACATGTGTACATGTACTCCATGACCTGTGGAGGTCAGGGAAGATAGTTAATGTTGGTTCTATTCTTGTCTCATATGGATCCTGGGTATTAAATTTGGTTTGTCAGACTTAGCAACAAGTGCTTTTACCTACAGGGCTATCTTGTCCCTTTAGTATTACATTTTAATTTCCTTTATTTGGTTTTTATTACATTTTTTTCCTGTGTATCCTAGACTGGCCTTGAATTTAGGGTAGTTTTGCCTCAACCTCCCTAGAGTTAGGATTACAGTCTTGTATGAGCCTGTCTGGCTTATACCTCAATTAAAAGTGTTCAGGATAGATAGAACTGAGGGGTTACTCTGTGCCATTAAGAAGTGGGCTGAGGTGGGGAAGTAGAGGTAGTAAAACTGGATTAAGTTTACCTTCAAGGAACCCACATAACCAGTTCAATAGTTCGCCTTTGCTAATAATTGGTTTATTGTGTGGTATATGCTCCTCAGGAGTACCATAGGTGGAGTAAGAATTGGAGTCCCATTTCTTTGTTCTTAAAGCATGACTGTTCTTCAGTATGTATTCTGAGGTCCTGGGCATTGTATGGGGCGCTGATTATCTTTCCTGGATTCACACACACCCAGCAGATAGTGAGCCCATCAGTTCCAGTGCCATCTGTTGTGTGAATTCCCATTCTAAAATTTTCTTAGGAGCGGTGCTGTTCAGATTCTGGCTTAAGTCTCTGAAATACGGTGAGAGTATTGGTGCCACCTTGAAGGGTCCATGGGGAGTGGAGGCAAGTGTCGAAATGTGTTGGAGGAGGGGCCTCAAGAAGCTGGTTTGGTTCTGTTAAATATGAAGGGGTAGTAGGCATAGACCTTTAATCCCAGCACTAGGAGACAGAGGCAGGCAGATTTCTGTGAGTTGGAGGCTAGCCTGGTCTACAGAATGAGTTCAGACCGGTCAGCACTACACACAGAAACCCCGTATCATAAAGAGAGCTGTACCAGGCGCAAGTTTGTCCTCTTTCATGTTGGCTTGAGCCCAGGGCCTTACACGTGCCATGCAAGCCCTCTACCACTGAGCTGTATTCCCAGCCCTTTTTCTCAAGTCTGGCTATTCACTTGTTAATTCTCTTGTCTTAGCCTGGCAAGTAGCTAGAATTACAGGCCTTCACCGCCAGACTTGGCTTACCAGTAGAGCTTCTGAAATGTGTAACAGGTCTTGGAGATAGAGCCTGGTTCTATAAGCTGTCATTTTATTAATTGCTATTACTACAAATGTAGTCAAACAAAGTCACTTTGTCCTTTGGGTGTTATTGAAATAAACAACCAATTTGCTGCTACTTGTTTGTAAAGGACTGAAGCAGCCCCTACATTTGAAACTTGTTATTGAATTGTCTTGTAGCTCCCCTCTCCTAAAATGACAGAAACAGCACCATCATGATTGTGTTACCCAACAAATTTACTATTGTAGAATTTTTGAGTTTTTTATTTTTCGAGACAGGGTTTCTCTGTAACTTTGGAGCCTGTCCTGGAACTCACTGTGTAGATCAGGCTGGCCTGGAATTTACAGAGATCTGCCTGTCTTTGCCTCTCAAGTGCTGGGATTAAAGGTGTGCACCACTACCGCTCAGCTATTTTTTTAGCTTTTAATCTGAAAATTCCTCCTTTGCCCCCTAAGGCATTGTCTCATTGTGTAGCTCTTGCTGACTTGGGATTCAGAACTCACAGAGATCCTCCTGCCTCTGTCTTCTGAGTGCTGGGATATAAGGTGTGTACCAGGGACTGGAGAGTTGGCTCTCCAGAATGGTTAAGAGCACTGGCTGTTTTTCCAGAGAACTGGGGTTGGTTCCCGGCCCCCATATGGTGGTTTAGCACTGTCTGTAGCTCCAGTTCAAGGGGATCACCCTCTTTTTGGTTCTGCAGGTATTGTATGCCTGCCTGGTGCAGATATACAGGGAGGCAAAACACACACACACACACACACACACACACACACACACACACACACACACACAGCATGTGCCACAATGTTCAGACCAAGGTCAAATCTTTAAATTCCATTCAGCAGAAGATGCTTCATGAAGTATTGTAAAAGCAATTCCCCGCATTAGCAGTATTTTATGTTGGGAGGAAGAAGGGCATGAAACTCAGCTGTTAGAGCAGTTACTGAGTCGGGGGAGCCTTTCTTAGGTTCTTTGCTTAGAATGGATTAAGGTGGAATGGCTGTTTGGCTTCACATCTGCCATGCCATTAACCTGTGTGATCTTGGATGTGTTATATAATTGCTCAGTGCCTTGGACGGAGACCAAGGTTGAGGCCTAGAGTCACATCTCTGAGAGGAATGGGAGGCCCGTGTAGGTTTTCGTGAGGACAAGATAAGGTGATCTGGGTACAGTACTTGACAGAAAGGCCTGGTAGAAAGGAGCCTGCAGTGAGTGGCGACTGAACACATTGACGACACGGGGGCAGGCACCAGGGCACTAATTGTTGTGCTGGATTCTGATTTGTTTTAGGGTCCCGGATTGCGAGCTGGCTCCCAAGTTTTTCAGTTGAAGTGATGCACACTACCAACATTCTTGGTATCACGCAGGCAAGCAACTCCCAGCTGAATGCCATGGTAAGAGCTCCTGACTGCTGCTGAGAACTTGTGCGTGGACAGGAGGGCCTGAGGGCTCTGGGACACATGGCTGTGCAGTGTGTGTGACCCTGCGAGTTTCTCTCTTGCCTAGGAGGACAGCAAAGATTTCAGGGGCCACCTCTTTCTTTCCGTTTTCCTCTTTCTCTTCTCTCCCTCTGTCTCTTCCCCTTCTCTCCCTCTCTTTACAGGATGTTGAATCCAGGGCCTTGTGTCTTCTTAGCAAACGTGCTACCACTGAGCTTTATACTTGGTGCCTTTCAGGAGTTGTGGTTTCTGGTGGGGGAGGCAGCCTGTAGACACAGTAAGCTCATATGTTGGTGTGACTAGTGAATGCTTAGGCAGCTGAAACTAGTCTGAAAACTTGCTGTCATTTTACTTCTGTGGCAGATAATCTACGCTTTAATGTGCACTACTAGATTGACTTAACTGTGACCTAAGCCTACTTTGAGACTACTTGATTTAAGCAAAAAATTCAGACAGGGTAAGTCCTTAGAATTAGAAGGCATAAGTCTGTTAGTCTTCCTTTTCTTCTTCAGTGGTGTATTGGCTATCCTGGGTCTGGGTTTTCCATATAACCTTTAGGATCACTTCGTCTTTCTATATAAAATAGCTTGCTGGGATTTTAACTGAGATTACGTTAATTCTATAAGTCAAATTGGGAGGAACTGACAGACATCCACCTGCCTCTGCTGGGATTATAAATGTGGACCACCATGCTCGGCTACCTTATTTTTTGTCAAAGGAAGTTCTTTTCTATTCTTTTCTTTTCTCTCCCTCCCTTCCTCCCTTCCTCCATTCTTCCTTTCCTTTTGAGACGGTCTATTTAGTCCTGGCTGTTCTGGAACTTGCTATGTAAAATAGGCTAGTTTTAAACTCACAGAGATTCTCCTGCCTCTGCTTTCCTTGTGCTGGAATTAAAGGCGTGTGCTACCATACCAGGCCAAAGGAAGTTATTCTCCTTTGTGTGTGTGGGGTGTGTGTGTGTGTGTGCACACATGTGTGCAGGTGATCATGCTGTTACTGTCTTCTTCCCTGAAGCAGGGCCTCAGAACCTATAGTTAGGCTCGCAACTGGTGAGCACTAGTGAGCCTTCTGTCGCTGCCCCTTATAGTGCTGGGGTTACAGACATGTAATTGGCCATGCCTAGCTTTTTAAAAAAGGTATTATTTCTTAACTGTTACTGATTCTTTTTGGACTTCCCATTATATATCCTGATCCCACTCATCTATCTCCCCATCCCCCTCGCATCTGCCCTCTGCCCTTATAACCTCCCCCCAAAAACCAAATGAAATTTAAAAGCAAACCAAAAAGGAAGGAAGGAAGGAAGGAAGGAAGGAAGGAAGGAAGGAAGGGCGGACAGTGTGGTCAGTTGAATCTCACAGTCTGCCCTTTAGTCGTCTTTACTTGCAAGTGTTTACTGCCAGTCATTGGTCTGGTTCCAGAACAGGCTCCAAAGCTACATCTGACTTTCAAGTCAGCTTTTTTTTTCACATTGCATAATGAACATGAATACTATAAATGCTGGGTCTGAATATTGAACTTTAAAATGATCCTTTTTACATACAATACATGTAAGTAAATATTGGACACATAAAATTAAAGTCTTTTAAATGATTCCTTTTAAAACCAGAAGATTCTACTTGCACCTGTCTTGGGATCTCACTAGATTCCTTGATGCTCTTGATTTTGGAATTGATGTTGCTCTTGTGCGCTAGTCCTGAAACAATGGAAAGACAGTGGTGTGCAGGGAGCGTGCTGAGCCAAGTGAGCTTTACCTGTACTTTCAAGATAAAGTGTCAACCTCTGTATCCAGAGCCTGCCAGGCACACTGACTTCTGCTGAGAGTGACCTTTGCTGTGGGATCTTTGTATTCTTCCAGGCTCATCAAATTCAAGAGATGTTCCCCCAGGTTCCATACCACCTTGTGCTCCAGGACCTACAGATGACACGCTCCGTGGAAATAACAACAGACAACATCTTAGA